TCGTCGTTGCTAGGTCAGTCTCTCTCGATCTCTTTGTCTCTCTCGATCTCTTCGTCTCTCTCTCTGGATCTCTTCATCTCTCTCTCTCTGTTTCTCTTTCTCTCTCTGAATCCATCTCTCTTTCTCTCTGTGAATATACATATGAAGATTTTTTTTTGTTTTCACGTGAATTTACTGTTAATTAAATTAGGGTTCCATTTTTTAATTTACTGTTAATTAGGATTTTAGTTACTATTTTGCTATTGTTAATTTTTTAATTTACTATTATTGCTATTGCACTTTAGAGAAATGGAACAAGAAGGGAGTTATAGTGGCAATGGAGTACAATATGATAAATGATCGTTTTAAAAATATGTTACCAAATTAGAGAAAAGGGGGAAACGACAGGAGGAAATTGGAGATGGAGATGTAATTATTACAGAGAGGAGTTTATCGGTTCACACTCTAAGAGTTAAAAATCACCTCTTGAGGATAAACGGGACTGGAATTAAGATGTGTTCCAAGTCAACACCCGAAAATCTAAGCGAGTTTCAAAGGACGTTGGATCAAGCGGAGGCGAGGTTGAGGGCTTCTAGACCTAAGACTTTATCTTTGCCTACATCTTTGACTGCAAGTACGACCGATGTAAGTGCAAGTGCAAGTATGCTGAATCGTGCAAGTGAATCTAAGACTAAGAGGAGAGGGCCTAATACCGTGGAACAAGCATTCAACATGGGGGTAATGGAGGAATTGGATGTATTGATTGGTAGGATATTCTTCACCGGGGGATTGTTCTTCAACTTGACAAGGAATCCATATTATGCCAAGACTTTTACATATGCCGCAAGCAATCAAATCTCTGGCTACAAGCCTTCCAGTTACAATTACATGAGGACCACTATCTTATAACGTGAAAAAACTCACGTAGAGAGATTGATGGAGTCCATCAGGGACACATGGCAACAGAAGAGGGTCTCCATTTATAGTGATGGGTGTGCGGATGCACAAAGGAGGTTCATCATTAATTTTATGGCGGTATGTGAGGGTAAGCCAATGTTCTTGAATGTCGTGAATGTGCCGAGGGAGAAGTCAAGAATAAATATTTTATCCAAGCGAAGTTAGAAAAGTGCATCACAGAGGTGAGACTGCAAAATATCATCCAATTCATAACCGATAATGCTTCGGCATGTAAGGCCGCAGGAGGGCTTGTAGAGGGCACCTGGTCTCACATATTTTGGACTCATTGTGTAGTTCATACACTCAATCTTGCTATCAAGAATATTTGTGCGGCTAAGAATATGGAAGCAAATGCCGTGCCTTATGCACAATTACATTGGATTACAGAGATCTCCGATGATGCATTGCTTATGAAGAATTTTATCATGAGCTTATGCACAATTACATTGGATTACAGAGATCTCCGATGATGCATTGCTTATGAAGAATTTTATCATGAACCACTCTATGCGGCTTTGGATTACAGAGATCTCCGATGATGCATTGCTTATGAAGAATTTTATCATGAACCACTCTATGCGGCTTGTCATGTTCAATGATTACCCCAAGATGAAGCTCCTATCGATTGCTGACATAAGATTTGCCTCGTGGATTATTATGTTGAAGATGTTTAAAGTCGTCAAGAGAGCCCTCCAAGACATGGTCCTTAGTGATCGATGAAGCTTGTATAGAGAAGATAATGTGGGGAAAGCTCAATTTGTGAAAGAGAAAGTCCTCGATGATTTGTGGTGGGACAAGATAGATTTTATTCTTGACTTCACTAGCCCAATCTATGAAATGATAAGGGTCACCGACACCGATACACCATGTCTTCATTTGGTGTATGATATGTGGGATACAATGATAGAAAAGGTGAAGCAAGCTATTTATAGGCATGAGGGTAAAAGGGATAACGAGGAATCTCCTTTTATAGGTGGTTCATAAGGTCTTGGTGGATCGATAAAACAAGAGCAACACCCCGCTTCAGTGCTTGGCACACTCTTTAGTTCCAAGGTAATATTTTACATTTTACTCTTTAATATGAATATTTCTATTAATCAATACATTGTGGGCTAATTCATGTTATTAACGAACATAGGTACTATCATTCCACATGGCTCAATGAGGATGTCAATCGGCAAGTTCCAAATCAAGATCTTGAGATCTCTATGGAAAGAGCAAAGTGCTTAAGAAGATACTATCCTAACTCCGATGAACAACGGGCAGTGAACGTGGAATATGCTAAGTTTGCAGGGGCTTTGGAGGCTTTTAGTGATCCAGATTCTCTTTCCGATAGAGGACATATGGATCTAAAGTCATGGTGGGTTCTTTATGGTCCAAGTACTCCAAATTTGCAAGCATTGGCCGTAAAGCTTTTAGGCCAACCTTGTTCCTCTTCTTGTTGTGAACGGAATTGGAGTACATATGGTTTCATTCACTCCTTAAAGAGGAACAAGCTAACCCCGGCATGTGCAGAGGATCTTGTTTATGTTCACACCAACCTTCGCTTACTTTCGCGAAGTTCGAAAGAGTATATGGAAGGGGAATCAAGAATGTGGGATATTGGTGGAGATGCCTTCGACTCATTTAAAGGTGTCGGCATTTTAGATGTTGTTGCCCTTTCTCTTGACGAGTCCACGATGGAGGCCGTTGTGTTTGAGGAGTATGAAGGAGTTGGTTGAAGCCATAGAACGATCTTTTTGATGTTTCAACTTGAAAACTTTATTTTAAGATACACTTTTGGTTGTAATTTTTATATTTTTGCAATGTTAGTAACTTAATATTTTGTAACCATGGAACTAGTTTGCAACTTGATCTTTATTCTCTTGTAATTTTTATATGTTTGCAATGTTAGACTTGTTAGTAGCTTAGTTTTATTCTCTTGTAATTTTTATATGTTTGCAATGTTAGACTTGTTAGTAGCTTAGTATTTTGTGTTTGAGGATTACATTTTAGTTTGTTGTTTGAATTTTATAAATTTATCTATATATAATAATAATATTAAAAAATCTAACCGTGTCCTATTTTTTTGGGTTTTGTCGTGTCTGTGTTCGTGTCGCCGTGTCCGTGACCGTGCTTTATAGGTTAGGGATATGCAGATTTATATATGCTGAAAAACCAATAGAGGCTGCATTACACGAGCACATATTTATGGTTTTTTTTAATATTTTTGGCACAATGTTGTGTATGGCATTGTTCAATAAATCTTGTCACTTATGGTACAGCGATTTTATGTTTTTGTTAATGCCCTCAAGAACTATATATGTTACCAGTAAAAAACACTTTTTGTTAGGGGAAAATTCAAGAATAACTTAAAGATAGTGAGTCGAGGCAAAAAAAGGGAAAAAGGCATTTACAAGTTCCTTGTTACTATTTGGTTTGTGCAAAGTATTTACATTGGACACCACAGAGGTTAGTCTTCTCAGGTTTACTTTTCTTTCTAATTGCTATTCATGTTTCCTACGTGTCTTCTTTCCATTCCCAGGACATTTTTGGTAAGGTTTGGAATCTGTTGATTGCTCCTATTGAATCTGATCATTATCAATCTATTGTACCTTCTATTTGGCTTCTATTGTTTCTTGTCATTTTAACATGTCGTCAAATACAGAACGTCGCCATTACATATTCCTTCAAATGATTAATCTTTTGTTTTGTTGGTGTTACAGGTTGGTTGGATTGCCCTTCACATGGACAACCCATAGGATATATGATACCTTCAAAGGTTCCTCTAGATGAATCTTATAATGATTTAGTGGCTCCTGGCAAGAGATATTCTTCGAAACAAGTGATAAATTCCCTGAGAAGAAATCAGCGGGAAGTAAGTGTACCATATGCTTTCAGACTGCTATTTTGTTTGGTTAGTTTATGTGTATATTTCATTATTCTACATGTATTTTAATAGTACACGATATAAAAGTATTTACTGCAAAAATTCTTCAATATGAACTCTGCCTGTACCATCTGTTCAAGATAGATGGATTTGGACAATAAAATGAAACTATATTAAAAGATTTTCCTAATTGGATTAATTCTAAACCATTTTTATTTCAGCATTTTAAGGAGATATCCACTTGTGATTATGGTAATTCTTGGTGATGTGTCTAATCAAATCAGTAGTTCCTAGAAGGGAATAGGACCTAGAAAGGCTCTATCTTTGAGAGCTGAGAATGACTGAACCTGGTAGGCCGGTATAGTGATCAAAATGTTAATTGACTCTAAATTTGGATAAGTACTTAACTGATTCATATTTAATGTGGGAGCTGTCAGGAACTAGTTTAAGTGCTAGCTAATGGTCAACATTTCTGTTAATTTCTAATTTCCTATGAGATTGTCATTAGATCTAAATGATTAAATCACTTGTTTGAGCAGGGTTTAATTTCTTTAACTCCATCCTCCTAGTTATGTAGAGCAAATATACCATGCACAAAACATGCCCAGTAATCATTTTGAGTTTTAGACTAGAGCATGGTCTCTGAAATTTTTTATTAAAAGGCAGACCAAATTTACAGCCAAGTTTGAGAGTCAGGTTCCTGATTGTTTCACATGACAATGCAGTCCAAGAGGTCCTAATAATTATAATGTAATTCACATATCTTATAGTTGTTTATTGCTTTTCACAATAAGCAAATACTGAGGGTGCGAGGTGTTCATTGCAAATGTGTTGATCACTCGTTTTCTTATCACTTTAACACCTTGTTTGGTATGTGAGAATGGGTGGGCATGGAATGCCCATTCTGACGTCCTATTCATGCCTACCAAACATAACATACTTTCGGAGGATAGAGTGCCTATTCCCACTTCTCATCCATTCCCACATATGGGCGTTCTCATTAAGTTGGCAGGAATGGGCATTTCAATTTAAAGTGGGAATCAAAATGATAAAACAAATTCCAAATATACCCTTTTTAAAAGTTACGAAATAGATATGATATCTTAATATCACAATAATTTTTTTCTTTAGTTTGACTCTACCCATTGAGTTAGCAGGATTTATTTTGAAAATATGTGTGGCTTCAATTCATCTTGATACTAGTTACCCGTGCGATGCACGGGATTCAATATTAACTTGGTTTTATGTATGTTAGAACTTTGAGAAAGAAAGAAGAGCAAATTAAATTTTCTTGGAAAAAGAGATAATAAGTCAAGGGTTTATAGAAATTGGAAAACGGAAAAAATGAAGGTTTTCAAAATGTGGAGGGAGTGGATTAAGTGTTCATAAGATGAAATGAGATGAGATGTGGAAAAATGAACCCTTGATTATTAGCTCTTAGTAGCTCTTAGAGTTTGCGAAGTGGCAAAAGTATGCAACCGGGTTTTTTACTTTATTAGTATAGCATTGATTAGTATGTTGGCTTTAACCAGCTCTAGGTAATTGATGTGTGGCTTCAATCCATCTTCTAGGTAAAATCACCTTCCCTAGGTAATTGAGGGTTTATTTTTTTAAAACAAAAATAGATGTGGCTTCAATCCATCTTGATAATAGTATGTAATTTTATCTTGGCCATCGTAAGCATATGCGATCAGTTCCCGTTAAAATGTTGTGTATTTTATGACATATAGCATTTATAATTAAATGTAGGATATATGAGTTTCATATATCCTGTGTGATTTTTATTGTTGTAATCAATTGTATTTTATGATTTTAAAGCTGTAAGCATATGCAATAAACAGATCCTCTTTAGAATTTTATGTGATTTTTATTGTTGCAATCAGTTGTGTTGCATGAATTTATTTTTTCTAAGCACATCGAGTGTTTACCGAGATAGGTTACATGCTTATCAAATTCATTTAGAAATATTATTTATCAAGAGATAATTTAAAGTGTTTAGTTAAAGTAATTACAAGACTGGGAAAAAATCATATAAATGGGTGCTCTGTAGGAAACCATAGAACAAATTGCATGTTGTCTTTTACAAAATCACATAAAGGAGAAAGATGGAGATTGATCTGTTCGAAGAATGCCTTGATGTTATGCATATGTATGAAGTATTGATTTTTGATGTTTTTCCCTATACTTGCAGGTACACATTAGTACATAGAAAAACTTTGGGATGCTAAGATTTAGACACGAAATGTTGACTATTTTTATATAACTTATTTTAAAAAAAATTAAATTATTTAGTCATTATTATCATTTTTTAATCTTTTTTAAATATCTATATTGTTGTAAGGGCATTAGTAGAAAACAAATTTTTATTTTTACTTGTAAACAAATGATACCAAACATGGGAATGGAATGAGATCGTTATTCTTGCGTCATTTTAGAAACACACCCAAACATGAGAATGGGAATGTACATTCCGTTCCCGCATTCCATTCCATTCCATTCACACTTGACCACTGTTTTAAAAAACATCCGTCTAGTCCGTTTAGGGGTACGCCTAGGCCTAGGCGGTACCTAGACCGCCTAACTAGCGCCTAGCGCCTAGGCGGTATTTAGGATGCCCACCTAGATTTTACGAGCGTTTAGGGGAGCATTGTCTGCTTACGTGGATTGCACCCTGTAGGCATTGATTGTGATTTTATGTGTCGTAGCCTACACGTCCTCCAAACTCCATTAACCTTCAAATATGAACACCTCCACTACCTCCTCTGACCTTCAGCAAAACCTCATCGACCACCACTTAAATGAAGAAAGAAAAAAAACGCCCAGAAACCGCTTAAGCGCCCGCCTAGGCGACTAAGCGCTAGGCGCCAAGTCCGACGCCTAGAAGCGCCCAACGTTTAATGTAACATTGCACTTGACTTCATTCTTGCGTACCAAACGAGGCGTGAAGGTCATGTGAACCTTCATATTATAATATAAGCTGCGCTACATAAGATGCATTATGTGAGCCCACAGGTTTTATAGTTGCGATGTTCACTGAAATTTGGCAGTGCTATGTGTAAAGGTTGCCTTGTACAAGCACTTAACTTTTGTCGCCATTCATTTTAATTTTGAAGTTCAAAAGATAGATATGATTCTTGCAGATATTGATGCATGTTGATGCTTTATTCGATTGGCAACTGTTTTATGCATGGTTTTATTTGGTTGTGACCTCTGATTCTTTTTTTTTTATTTTTCCTCTTTCACCACTCTCCAGCTTGGTTTGGTGATTGATTTGACAAATACAACACGGTACTATTCACCATCTGAATGGACAAAGCTAGGTATTAAGCACATCAAGGTAAAATATGTTCTCTCTTCATTTTTTCTAGATAAAAGCTGGGAGCGATGGGATCTTATTCTGTAGAATTCTAACTTAATACAGTCTTCCACTATTGCAGATCCGATGCAAGGGGCGGGATGCTGTACCAGATAATGAGTCTGTCAATTCATTTGTCTATGAGGTACTCATATCATATGCAACTTCTTTGCTTGTTGTTTGCATTATGGTTAAGTATTGATTGTGTTTTGCCATAGAAGTTTGAATTGGCAGGTCAACCTATTAGGTCTTAGTCCAAATCACATATTAAGAAGAGTTTCGAAGAAGAGAATAGATCTTAACTTCATCCACCCGTTCCATTTGAATGCATTTATTTCTGGGTTCAAGACACAAACTTAAAAGATCTCCTTCTTTCGTGTCTGATGAGCCCAAACAACCTGGACGCATATGTAGGCCTTAGAAGGTTGCTTAGCTCCATCTCATAGTGTG